TGTTTTGGGATGAATGCGCCGCCGCCTTCTCCTGCCATCTAGTGGTGAATGGAGTAACTACTTCAAGGACTTGCTCTAACATGTTCAGAGAGAACTGTTTTTTTTTTTTTTTTCTCACTTCCAAGGGAATATTTATCTGGCTAAAATAAATAGATGGATGAATAAATACGAACATATATAAATAGATGATTAGATGAACGTAAAAGCAAAGAAACATTCTAAAGAATGAATAAATAACGTAAGAACTAAGTACATAAAACGTAGCCTCGCCCCACTTCAAATCAAGAAACCATTTTCTTTACGGCGGGAGACCTGTTATGATAAAAAAATATCCATAGCATTCTAGGATATTTGTACTACCATATCTGAATCATTGCTGCTTTCTTTTCGTTCTACACACAGCCGTAAGCATGAATAAACTTCCCAGATTCCTACATCTTTCTGTATACATGCAGGAAACATCGATACGTCAGCAGATACATTTTTAAATTATCTGTTTTTCTCTACATTACCGTAACTGTCTACGGCTCTCTTTAAGGTCGAATTTAAGGTATTGTGGATCTGCACGTTTCAGGATCTATGAAGGAGTGAGAATTTTAGCCATCTAACATAGTCCATCAGGCCAACATATGCTCTCTTGACCTCATAGCTCACCAAACTAGTTCACATTATGCATGCAATCCCTTCTTGGTTCAACACATCAGCGTGAAACCTTTACACCACATCCACATCCACTCTCCAGACCTCATGGCTCGCCACACCAACATGCGCTCTCTATACCTCCCCCTCATGACTCGCGATCTCATGGTCTATTGGCTCATCACACACCGACATGCACTCTCCACACCTCATGGCTCACCTCTCCGATATTCCTTTTGATCTCGACCTGTGTTGCCACTCCTGTTTTTTGTTTTTTCTTCTTTTCTCGTCTTTTTTGCGTAGAACTGTTTGTTTGTTTGTTTTTCATTGTGATGGCCTGGGGTTGTTGTTGTTGTTGTTTTAAAGAAATCTATGAATTTAGTTTTTATCGTTATTTACCTAGACTTGTTTGTTTGTTCTTCCCTGTGATGGCCTGGTGTTGTTTTTATGTATTTTTTTCTTTTTTTAAGAAATCCGTAAAATTATTTTTCTATGATCAATTATTCTAACGTGCAATTTTCTTACTAAGCAGTTAGTTAAAATAAACAGTGAAGATAGATCACTGTACTAGACGCGTCCATATGAGCGACAGACCTGTAACAGCCACTTGTACCAGAACAACATCAACTGATACTTTTTTTTCGCTCAGTACCTCAGTCGCTTCCGAGCTGTTATGTTGCTCGAGTCGTTTCGCACAGCTACTATTAGCTCCCTCACCCTCGAAGGAAAGGAGTTCTGAGGAAAGGAGAGGAGGAGGAGGAGGAGGAGGAGGAGGAGGAACCCACTACGAGTACTCCACCTCGAAAAAAAGGATAATCCCAAGGTACCGTGACGGACATGTTTTTTAAATGAACCGAAGCTTCGAATCTATCTTACCCTATACAAAAAGTGTGGTGTTAAGCGAATGTCCGAAGCGGTATTCGAAACAGGTTTGAGACGAGTTTTGATCGTGACTGAACAAGCGAGACTTTACACACGACTGGCTGAAGGTGGAGGTTAAGTCGCGTCTGCATAGTTAATAATATCGATTGAATATGAGATAGAGTGATCTGAGTTTAATTTTACGGAATCTAGGTGGTTTTAGGCAACCGATCTCGAGGTTTTTTTTCGAAATTAGCGAGTGGCAACACTGATCTCAGCAATCGACAGGAGCTTCCATTTTTTCTCAATCTCTCTCTTTTTTTTCTCTTTTTTTCTTTTTTTTTTTTTTTTGGAAGAGGGCGACGCAAAAGGCAAGGTCTTCAGTGTGTCTGTTTGTTCACGTTGTTTTTATTGCATGGTGGAGAGTTTGTTCTCGTGTGTTTGTGTGTTTGTTTCTGTCCTGTTGTGAATGGTGTGTTTTGTCTGTTTGTTTTTGTTTTGTTATGGAGAGAGTGATCTTTGCTATTCTGTTGTTGTTGTTGTTGTTTGTTTGTTTGTTTCATGATGAAGAATGTTTTCCTATTTATTTATTCTTTATTTGTTTAATGATAAAGAATGTTTTCAAACAGAAGAGTGTAGTGTAGTCATATTTGTTTGTGCACTTTTTTCTATGAGCTGTTTGTCTTTTTTGTTCGTTATAGAATGCTTTTGTTTGTGAATCTAGATGCAGTTTGATAATGTTTTTCGTATGTAAGCTAAAGTTAATTATTTCTTTACGGTCTTTTGTTTTGTTTTTGTTTTTCTTGCTTGTTTGTACTTTGTAAGTTCATTTATTTGTTCCATTCTTATTGTTTGTTTCTGTGACTTTTCTTATATTTTGTGCCTATATATTCAATGCAATTTACAGATAAGTAAAGGGTTTTGGAATATTCTAAAATCTTAAATCACATAATACGACAATCTGGAATCATGTGACAAAATCTGGAATCATTTATTGAAATCTGGAATCATGAACCGAAACATGAAATCTTGGAATATTTCCAAATCTGGAATCATCTAATACCCTGAAATCTGGAATCATGGAATGTGACGAAACATGAAATCATGAAATATGAAGAAATCTGAAACCATGGAATAATCCTAAAATCCAGAATCCTGGAATGTGACGAAACATGAAACCTTGAAACCATGAAATATCCTAAAATCTGGAATCCTGGAATATAAATCAAAAAGAAAAAAAATAACAACCAGGACATATGATGAAATCTGTAAAAATGAAAATGGTTGACAAACACGCAAGTCATGGAAACCGCGTGTCTGTGTGTGTCTGTGCAAAGACTCGCTTGTCACGCAATGTCTCCTTAATTCCGGGATTTGTCTGTTTGTCTGTCTGTCTGTGTGGGTATTTTATGGGGGGATTAGTCTGTCTGTTTTTTTTCTGGTGTGTGTGTCTGTTTGTCTATTTCTTTTTTTCATTTTTTCTTTCATCTTTTATCATTTCTTTTCTCTCTTCAATGTGCGTTCTTTATTTTTTCTTTTTCTTTTATATTATTTGCATTGTTTTTCTTCTAATCATTTTTCTTGGTCTTTCTGTTTTCTTTCGTTTCCTTTGTTTTGTCTCCTCATCCTTTCTCTTAAATCTTTTCCTCTCCTCTTCTCTTTCATTATCTTCTCTCCTACTTCACACATTCTTTTGTCTTATTCTCTCCTCCCACTTACTTCTCTTTTCTTATTTTTTCGCCTTATTCTCTTTCCTTCTTCTCTCTCTTTCCTTCTCTTATTTCATCATTCTATCTCCTCCATCTTTTTCTCTCCTTCTCTCTCTTTCTTTTCCCTTTCTTTCACTTTTTCTTATTTGTTTGTTTTTCGCATCATAAACTTTTCCAAAAGATTTCCCTGCTGCTTATAATATAACTAACTTTTTTTCTTTTCTTTTTATTGTCTTGAATGTTCTTTCCATTTTCTTAACTCTCTTCCAAACACTTTTCTTTTTCCTGAGATGCGCTCCTGTCGCTTTTTTTAACATTTGAACATTTTGTTTTCTACTACTATTTTTTCTGTCCTTTTATTCTTTATTTTTCATTTTATCTTTTCTTTTTTTTCTTTTTCTTTTTTGTTCTTCTTCTCTCTCTTCGTTTGGTTTTTCTTGTTTTTCGCTTACTTTTTCTTTTTTTCAGTTTATTCTTTTTCCGTTCCTTCCTCCTTTTTTCTTTCTTTTTTCTTCTTCTTTTCTTTTTCTTTTTCTTCTTAATTTTCTTCTTGCTTCTTCATCTTCTTCTTCTTACTTGATATATCTTATTTATTGTCTGATATATCATTTATTTCTTGTCTAAAATCGTTTTTCCTTCTTAATCTCCTATTTAAATATACATTACTGTTTTTTTCTTCTTAAGACTTTTTTTCAATTTCATTTCAGATTTGGTCACTGAATACCTTCTTTTTTCGATCTCGTGGCGTTTTGTATAGATTCCTGTGTTGATGTGCATTTGTTTTTTTTAAAGTTAGGTTTACGGGGTTGTATAAGGGATTCGATTAGGTTCGGTTAGATTCGTTTAGGTTTAGATCGGGTGTGTAGATCGTATGAGGGGTTTGATTATGTTTAGTGAAATAAGTTAAATTTAATTATGTTTAGATGTTTCAGACTAGTAGAGATAGAGTTAAATAAACGAAATGTTAGTTATGCTTTTGACTATAGCAGTTATGATAATGGAAATAATAATAGCAATGATAATATTGATCATGGTGATAATGATAGTAAAGCATTAATTATGACTATTATACCAGCAAGGATTCTAATAGAATATAAATAATATACTCGTATTAAAATTGACATAGAATTTAAGAACTTTCATACGATTTTTATGATAATGATATTGCAATCTCTAATGAACGAAAAATAATTAAGAAGACGTAAACGACGAGAAAAAACAACATTAAAAGGAAAGGAAAAGTGAATCTCGAACTTTTAGCAAAGGTAAACATCAGCATTTACCTGGACCATTAAGTAATTAGTCCTTTTTTTCTCTCTCTCTTTTCCAGTTCTATTTTTCCCAGTTGGATTTCGCTTTTTATTCTGTCTTTCTTTTCATTTCACCTTTTTTCCGAACAAAAAATATTCTAAAGGGTTTCTATCCGGATTTCAATGGATTTGTTTACGCGAACGGCTGCAATGAATGCGGAGCGTTCTTGGAAGCATTTGATTCGCCTTCGACTTGAATCGAATATAATGGCTTCGATTAACGAGAGTTATCTCTTTTACTTTTCTACTATTACCTCAGTTTTTCGTTTTCTAACTGATTTGATTATGCAAATCTTAAAAAAACTTTAACATTATTATTGTAACACGATTTCGTTTGGTATCCTATAATCCTCGTATCATCACTCTCGATTTTTTTTTCTATAATCATTATATCCTTTCTTTCTCATCTTCCTCCTAAATATAAATCGTGTTCAACCGAATCCTTCCGTCAATCCTCTCAGGAGAACCACGAGAGACTCACGTTCAGAGAAGTCGGGATCTCCGCTGCTGGGAGCCGGGGTGATGTTGGCGGTGACGTTGCTGTCTTCGGTCTTGCCTTCTTCGCCCGGTCCTGAGGAGGTCTGGTTGGTGCCGTCGCCTGCCGAAGGGGGCGGGGGGGTTACGGCATGGGTTTGCGTCATGAGCTACGGCATGGGGTGACGTCATAAACTAAGGTATGGGTTAGGTAGACTGGCATGGATGACGTCATACACTGAAGCAAGGGTGACGTCATAAACTTAGGTATGGATGACGGCATAACTAAGACAATGGTGACGTCATGGACTGAGGCATGAGTGATGTCATGATTTAAGGCACTGAGCAAGGATTATCTGTACGTTTTCTGATTGGCTGGAAAGAAGGGAGAGCTGAAAAGGGAAAATGGCGGAATAAGGAGGGAAAGAGAGAGAGAGAGTGAGAGACAGACAGACGGTCGTACAGACAGACAAACAGAATGAGACAAAGACAGAAAATGCACATACAGAAAAGCACAGAGACGTCTTCGGGACTGACAGCAACAATAGAATGAATAAAAATCCAGAAAGTTCTTTTTTATTCCTTAATGCTAAGTTAAGATTGATTAGTCTCTGTACTAAGTTATCAAACACAGATAACTAAAAAAAAATAGTGAAAACAGACAGCTACTTAACAGTCACTCAATTCTACGTCAATAGAGATTCTTTTGATCTGTCTGTGCGATGTGACATTAAGATTTTTTTTTTTTTTTTTTTTTTTTTTTTTTTTTTTTGCTCACAAGAAAGCCCTAAATACCTTACGACTTTGCTGAAATATCTCACCTGACGAGTTTGAGCTCAGGCTTGCATTGACACTTGGTGGTGACGTCACATTCACCGGAGGAAGGGTGTGATTGGTCAATACAGATGGTGACGTTTCGTTGACTTCTGGCTCCTAGGGAGTAAATATTTTCCTCGTTATTACCTTTAGTAGTGTCCGTTTTATTAACGAGAGTGGTATTATTGTTTTTTTTTTTTTTTTTTTTTTTTGGCATCACTGGCTTCGTATCTGAAGTCATCAGTGAAATTGAGTCATCATTACAGAAAATCAATCGGATGTATTGTGACTATGTTTTATTAAAGAGAGTGGTATTATTGTATTAAATACCACTAGTCGTATCTAAAGTCATCACTAAATTGAGTCATCATTAAAAAATGAACCGTATTCCTGTGACTAATGAAGGAAAGGGCATGAGAATGTAACTGACGGAAATATAATCAAAACCGATTAGATACAACTTTGTATTAGGAGATATCCATTCTTTTTAAAAAATCAAATTCAAGGTATGTCATATTTCCTTGATTGAATTTTTAGTAGTAAGAGCAACCAATATGGTCCTATGTAGTGAGAAATTCACCGGTGGTGAGGACGGTTTCAACCTTTGTGGTGAGTTTGAGAAATTACAAACAATCAAATATAGTAGCAATGTTGTGTTATTAGTGTTTACATTCAGTGTGTAAACTCACTGACGCAAAGGCACCAAAGTCTAGTTTTCGGCATAATGTGTTTTGACATAAAGAGGGAAATATTTAATGATTGTCAAAGATAAGGACTAGCATCATTTTCTGTGAACGCAACTTGGTGTATGTGTGTGTTGATATGAAAAATGGCCAATGACCAATCGATTGAACAGAAAGTGATAATATAGATAACAACAAAACCAATACTGAAATTTCAAAGTAATACCGAAATAGGTATTAGCACCAAGGACTAACTAACTCTTAAACATTTACTTTAACCTTAATACACCATATGCCAACAAAAATGCTACCTTTACAGCGAATACACCAAATCCCCGCTTTCACCAAATACTAAAAAAATAATAATAATAATAAATAAATAAATAGATAAAATAAATAAATAAACAAAATAAAAAAAACTTCAACACCAGAACTCGAACGACCTCAAGACAGACCTCTGACGTGAGGGGCGGGTAGGTGAAGTTCACCAAGGGCTGAGACGTCGGCGCGGACCCCAGCACCCGAAGTTCGTCCGCTGCCCAGGTGCTCGAGTTGAAGCTGGAGAGACTCAGCTTAATCTGCGTGCGGAAGAGATATGTAAGGGGGGTAAGGAAAGCTTAGATTTTTTTTTTTTTTTTTTTTTGAGTGTGTGGGGGAAGGTTATGTGTGGGTGTCTTTGTATGTCTGTGTGTGGGTGTGGGGGTGTGGTAGATGTGGATGTCTTTGTGTGTGTGTGGGTGTGGGGTGTCTTTGTGTGGTGGGTGTGGGTGTCTGTGTGTGTGGTGGTAAAGGTGTTTTTTGTACATCCGTGGGTGGGTTGGTGGATATCTTTGTTTTACTTTTATGGTGTGTTTGTGCGCGCGCGCGCGCATGCGTGTGGGTGTGTCTATCTTTTACACCCTTATCCCTTTCCACAAACTCTCATATCCCAATCACCCACCCATACCTATGAATCTTCACACAACAAAACAAAACAAAAAAAAAAATCAACAAAGACAAAATCTTAAAAAAAAAGAAAAAAAACATCCTCCTCACCAACCACGTACCTTAAACGGCTGAATCCTTGAATAGCTTGGAATCTGCACCTCCTGGCTGACCCAGACCTCGTGGTGCTCCAAGAGGTCTTCGGGGAAAGTGTAGGTGAAGATCCGAGGGGGGGGCCCCGCTGCTCCATCGTCACTGCAGGAGGGGGGGGGTTAGTGTTCTTTATCTATTGTTCGCTTTTCTCTATCTATCTATCTGTCGGTCTGCCTATCTCATTTTCTCTCTCTATCTATCTCTATCTATCTATCTATTTCTCTCTCTCTCTCTCTCTCTCTCTCTCTCTCTCTCTCTCTCTCTCTCTCTCTATATATATATATATATATATATATAATATAATATATATATATATATATTATATATATATATATATATATATATATATATAATATATATATATATATTATATATAATATATATATATATATATATATATATATATATATATATATATAATATATATATATATATATATTATATATATATATATTATATATATATATATATATATATATATATATATATATATATGTATATATATATATATATATATATATATATATATATATATATATATATATATATATATATATATATATATATATATATATATATATATATATATATATATATATATATATATATAATATATATATATTATATATATATATATATATATATATCTATATATATCAGTAAACCGGGAATTAGTACATTAATTATTTTGATTAATTCTATATAGATAGTCTAAATGCTAATCAAACTATTCTAATGTATGAATATTAAATAACAAAATACATGATTGGATAATGATGTCATTTTCATTGATTATACTGCCATCATAATATCAAATTTGTTTTTTAATTGTTGCATCTCATTTTTCTTAAGTGGCGCTGTATTTTCTTTTTTTTATCTTGTCCTTCATTTTTTCTTTCTTTCTTTCTTTATAGGTTATTTCCTCTTTCCACTTTTCCATTTTCTTCCTGTCTTCTTCTCTCCCCCTTGTTACTCTCCTTCGTTTTATTCCTTCTTCTTACTCCTTTTCCTTCATATTTCCTCTCCTTCACCTCCTGACTCCCTCTCCTCCTATATACTCGTCCACCTCCTCCTTACTCCTCCTCCTTCTTACTTCTTCCCCTCTTGCTTACGCCTCCTCTTCTTACCCATCTTCCTCCTTTTTCCTCCTTCTCTTTCTCCTCCTTATTCTTTTCATTCTTTCTTACCTCCTCCTCCTTCCTGCTCCTATTCCTCCTCCTCCTCCTACTTCTACTCCTACTCCTACTCCTTCCCTTCCTCCTCTTCCTCCTACTCCTCCTTCCCTTTCTCTTCCTCCTCCTCCTCTTTCCTCCTCCTCCTTCCTCCTCCCCATCCTCATCCTTATCCTTCCCCTCCTCCTCCTACTTTCTCCACCTCCTTCTCTTCCTTCTCTTCCTCTTCCTCCTCCATATTCCTTCCCCTTCTCCTCCTTCACCTCCACCTCTTCCTCCTCCTCCTCCTCCTCCTCCTCCTCCTCCCTCCTCCTCCTCCTCTCCTCCTCCTCCTCCTTCCTCCTCCTCCTTCTCTTCCTCCTCCTTCTCCTCCTCCTCCTTCCTCTCTCCTCCTCCTCCTCCTCCTCCTCCTCCCTCCTCCTCCTCTCCTCCTCCTCCTCCTTCCTCCTCCTCCTCCTCCTCCTCCTCCTCCTCCTTCCTCCTCCTCCTTCCTCCTCCTTACTTACACTTCATGACGAGGTCCTCTGCAGGAGAAGAGAAGTAGTAGCTGATGATGATCCTCGCATCCTCAAGGGCGGGGAATTTCTTCTCGAGGAAACTTTCATATTCCTGTCGAAGATAAAGATAAGAGGCTTTAGTGTCAAGTTTGGGGGGACTGTCTGTCAAGGGATGTTTCTTTTGTGCAGATTACT